GGAGGGGGAGGGACAGAGTGCATCTTGGACACTATCAAAACACTCTTGTGCTTCTTTTCCTTCTTAGTGTTTTCATAAATTCATATATTTTTTATATCCCTGACTTCCCTTGAAGAAATATAGACTAATTGGTTTAATAAAAAAAAGAGAGAGATAGAGACAATGTAATAAAAAGCAGTGGCTCTCAAATTTAATTGTATCCCAAAAGCACTTGGAGCTAGTTTTGACAGATTTCTGTCTAAATCCAAAACTTTCTGTGGAAGCAGAAACTCTGCATTGTTTACAGCTAAAGCTGTTAATGCTGGTGACCAGTATGAGAAACAGTACTAAAAAAAAGATGGTCATTAACTTCCCTTGGAGTCACAGAATCAGTGTCACACCTTGACAATGCATGGTACTTGATCTCTCTGGATGAAGTATCTCAATAGTTGTGTTAGTCAACTTTTCATTGGTATGCCAAAATACCTGAAATTATCAATGTATAAGAAAGAAAGCTGGGCCGTGAGCTCTGGAGCGGGGTGGGCTGCGGGAACTCCACTGCCACCAACGCGGGCGCAGGCCGAGGCCCTACAGGAGCAGCTTAAGATATAACTGAAGAATCAGTAACAGAAGATGACAAGAGAAGAAACTATGGAGGAGTGTATGTTGGCCTGCCATCTGAAGCTGTCAACGTGGTATCTAATCAAACAAAGACTGTACAAAAAATTAAAATAACTTCACAACACAATAATCAAGAGCTTGCTCATCAATTGGAAGGTATCCAGCCAGCCCTGGGGACACTGAAATGTTGCACAGGAAATTCTAAACAGTTGTCACCATGTCCCTCTCCCCTAGTCTTAAGTGCATAGTTAAAACTGTGAGTACAGGTTGAATGTTGTGGTCATGGAATGGATTAGACAATGTGCTGGTCTGGAACTTTTCTGCATCCACTTGGGGAAGACAAGTTAAAATACTTCTGAGATCTGTTGTTGCCCACCTGGGTCTCTGGTTCCATAGCATTTTACATCCCAGTCACACAACACTCCACATAGGTCATGTCTTCTCATTGGGACTTTTTATGATAGTTCTTATATGACAGAAATCCGTATCTGTTTATAACTTAAAATAATAGAGCACTATGAATGAATTACCTAAAGTAATATATTTGTCGCTTATCTTTCACTGTTTCTACTTTGTATTAATTTTTAGCTGTTAATTTGGGAAATGGATTCTTATTAGTCACTCCCCAGTTTTTACTATTTAGTTTCCAAATTCTATTTAAATCTCCTTGATTAGAAACAATGTATCACAGTGCAACATTTAATGATAAATGGTTAAATCTGCATGCCAAATACACATGTTGACTAAAGCTCTTTTTAGTCAAAAGCTTATGTTACTCTAAACACTTGCTAGCCAGAGAATCTCCCATTGTACCATTAATGTAGTCCTGGCATCTTACTGTGCTAATTCTGTACTGTTTTCTGGGACTTAAGATTGAAGGTTAGTGAAGAATCTAGAAAGTTCTTAATTTGCTAATGGTAATGTGTATTCCTGCTGCAAGGCAAATTACCCAATTTATCAATGTATTTCAACAATTAAATGTTTTTATCTTTCAAAAAAAAAAGGAAAGAAAGCTTTATTTGAGGTCATGGTTCAGAAGTTCTACTTGATTGTCTGTAGGCCTCATGGACTTTGGACCAGTGGTGGATCTATACGTCCTGATAGGGGACACTCTGTGAAGCAAAGCTGCTTGCTAGGAAGCAAAGAGAGAGATGAAGAAGACATTGGAAGCCAACATTCTCCTTCAAGGGTACACCCCAATGACTTATCTTCCTCTCACTATGCCCCTACCAGTCAAAGTTTCCACCTATTACAACAGAGAGCTAAAACTCACATTTGTTATCTCAGCTATTCAAGATATAGAGAGCAGGAAGATGACACTTTGAGGCCAGCCTAGGGGAAAAATGAGCAAAATCCCATCTCAATCAATAAGCTGGGCATGGTTAGGCAAGCCAATTAATCCCAAGTACATCAGAGGCCAGAGGCCATAAGTAAGAAGAGTGCAACCAGAAGCCTGCCCAGGCAAAAATCTGAGACTTTATCTGAAAAATAAAAAGAGTTGGAGGCATGGCTTAAGTGGTAGAATACCTGCCTAGAAAGTGTTAGGCACTGAGTTCAAGCCCCAATACCACAGAAGGAAGGAAGGAAGAGAGGAAAGGAGGAAGGGAGGGAGGGAGGGAGGGAGGGAAGGGAGGGAGGGAGAAATTCCAATATGGTCTTTGTCCACTTCAGTGGATTCTCACATGCCCTGCAATATGTGTGCTCAGGCTTAAAGACTGACTTATAACAGAAGGATATTCCATGGTAGAAAGATAATAAGCCCCTGGAAAATTGAACAAAAGAAGGAAACACTTCCACATCTCCTGGGAAAAAAAACAAGAGCCCTAGAAAGACCTGGTAATAAAACTGCCTTCATCCATCACTCTAAATCTCCAGGTCCTTTGAGCTTAGGGAAAAAAATAAAAATGCTTGATTTCCTTCTCTATTTCTTCCAGAGGATAACACAAATCCAGCCAAACATGTATCATGCTGCTCAGTTAATCCTCGGGCTTACAGCCTCATTTAAGAAGCAATGGGACACAGTCCTGTTTTCTCGGAGTTATGCAGTTCATCAGAAGGAATGATGAATTGTTAACTGGGTCTAAGAATTTATAAAATGTTAGGATATTAAATTTACATTCGTAAGCATTCTCCCACATTCAATCTTTGTACTTAAAGATGGAGGCAGTAAATGGTCCCCACTCTGAGGTATTGCATTCCTGGCAGCAAAGAACACTTACCATCAATTAAACATGCTGTTGTGCCTTAGGTGAACATTCCTGATCTTCATGGAGCCCCTCAGGGAGATTTCATTCATCCGTTTCCACAGATGTAGAAAATTAGACTCAAAGGATTCAAGTGAATAGTCCAAGGCCATGACATCATTCAATACATAGATACAGGAGTAGAGAGGGTACTCTCTGGAGACACACTTTTTGGACATCCATCCTGACCCTTTCTTATTATTGGTATATACTATAGTATGTTTGGAATCATACTGTTTGTATAATCCTGAGCAGACTATTTACTGTCTTATTAAAGCATCTTTGCCTATAAAATGGTCAGTGGTATTGCTTACCCTTAAAGTTAAGATCAGTTCAAGTAACCAGATACCAGTGGCTCATGCCTGGTATAATCTGAGCTAGTCAGGAGGCTAAGATCTGAGGAGAAAAGCTAGAAGCCATCCCAGGCAAGGAAATCTGTGAGACTCTTATCTCCAATTAACTAGCAAAGAACCAGAAGTGGAACTGTGTTTCAAGTGGTAGAGTGCCAGCATAGAGCAACAAGGCTAAGGGATAACACCTAGACTCAAGCTCCAGTACTGGCACAAAAAAAATTAACAAATAAAAGATTAGTTTAAGTGCATAGGCCCCTGAAAACTCCTGTTGTCATATGCCGTGCTAGTATTTAATAAGTACCAGCTGTGATGATATTGATGCAGATGGTGTAAAGTGTCTAGAATATAACAAATGATCCAAATAGGTGCAGCTTGCCCCATATCAGTAATTCATATCCATAGCCCTCCTTCAGGATTAAGACTTCAATTTAAACTAAAGTAGCAGCTGATCACCCAAACTGCAAAGCATTTATATAGAAGCCTGGTGGTATTTGGATATAAGGCAATCATCTTACTCATAACCATTTTTCCAAGTCTGATCAATTCTTCCTTAAACCAGTCCATCTCAGACTTTTCTCTGAACAAAGCAACTATATTCTTTTTCTTTGGAAACCCACTTAATGCTCTGCTATAAAGGTCTGTTCTAAACAATCCAAATGCTTTAGGAACTAAAGCACCCAGCACATTTAGAGGGCTTGGTGATAAATCTTCCCAGAAAGACGCATGAAGAACCGTGATGGTGTTTCACTCCATCACTCTCTTACACCACCCACAGACACTAAGGGAAAAGGTAGTGGCAGCATTTTGTAGCACAATTTAAATATTTTGGAACCTGTTGGCTTTGCCGTGAAACATAACTTTCCTAACACTTTCACACTTGTGTTTCATGTCGTCCTATCTTGCAAAACAATAACAAAATAGTTTGAGTGAACAATAATATTTCTCATACAAGTACACCTCCTGCCTTCTCTAGTGTATGTAGGGTTCCATGCTTGGAAGAGCCAATAACCCATTATGCATCCAAGTAAATCAAAGATGTACTTATATCTTCATAATAAATCACAGCAACAGAGAGAAGCTCTCTTCATAGTGAGACCTGAAGATGGTAAAAGAAACAAATACGTGCCTTCTGAGTAAAAAATATATGTGAGAGAGAAGAGAGCAAGGGAAGGGGAGAAAGAAAGGAAAAAGGGGGAAAGAAAGAGGGACACGGCGAGGGAGAAAAGGGAAAGAGGAAAGGGAAAAGAGAAGAGAAAGGAGGGGGAGGGACAGAGTGCATCTTGGACACTATCAAAACACTCTTGTGCTTCTTTTCCTTCTTAGTGTTTTCATAAATTCATATATTTTTTATATCCCTGACTTCCCTTGAAGAAATATAGACTAATTGGTTTAATAAAAAAAAGAGAGAGATAGAGACAATGTAATAAAAAGCAGTGGCTCTCAAATTTAATTGTATCCCAAAAGCACTTGGAGCTAGTTTTGACAGATTTCTGTCTAAATCCAAAACTTTCTGTGGAAGCAGAAACTCTGCATTGTTTACAGCTAAAGCTGTTAATGCTGGTGACCAGTATGAGAAACAGTACTAAAAAAAAGATGGTCATTAACTTCCCTTGGAGTCACAGAATCAGTGTCACACCTTGACAATGCATGGTACTTGATCTCTCTGGATGAAGTATCTCAATAGTTGTGTTAGTCAACTTTTCATTGGTATGCCAAAATACCTGAAATTATCAATGTATAAGAAAGAAAGCTGGGCCGTGAGCTCTGGAGCGGGGTGGGCTGCGGGAACTCCACTGCCACCAACGCGGGCGCAGGCCGAGGCCCTACAGGAGCAGCTTAAGATATAACTGAAGAATCAGTAACAGAAGATGACAAGAGAAGAAACTATGGAGGAGTGTATGTTGGCCTGCCATCTGAAGCTGTCAACGTGGTATCTAATCAAACAAAGACTGTACAAAAAATTAAAATAACTTCACAACACAATAATCAAGAGCTTGCTCATCAATTGGAAGGTATCCAGCCAGCCCTGGGGACACTGAAATGTTGCACAGGAAATTCTAAACAGTTGTCACCATGTCCCTCTCCCCTAGTCTTAAGTGCATAGTTAAAACTGTGAGTACAGGTTGAATGTTGTGGTCATGGAATGGATTAGACAATGTGCTGGTCTGGAACTTTTCTGCATCCACTTGGGGAAGACAAGTTAAAATACTTCTGAGATCTGTTGTTGCCCACCTGGGTCTCTGGTTCCATAGCATTTTACATCCCAGTCACACAACACTCCACATAGGTCATGTCTTCTCATTGGGACTTTTTATGATAGTTCTTATATGACAGAAATCCGTATCTGTTTATAACTTAAAATAATAGAGCACTATGAATGAATTACCTAAAGTAATATATTTGTCGCTTATCTTTCACTGTTTCTACTTTGTATTAATTTTTAGCTGTTAATTTGGGAAATGGATTCTTATTAGTCACTCCCCAGTTTTTACTATTTAGTTTCCAAATTCTATTTAAATCTCCTTGATTAGAAACAATGTATCACAGTGCAACATTTAATGATAAATGGTTAAATCTGCATGCCAAATACACATGTTGACTAAAGCTCTTTTTAGTCAAAAGCTTATGTTACTCTAAACACTTGCTAGCCAGAGAATCTCCCATTGTACCATTAATGTAGTCCTGGCATCTTACTGTGCTAATTCTGTACTGTTTTCTGGGACTTAAGATTGAAGGTTAGTGAAGAATCTAGAAAGTTCTTAATTTGCTAATGGTAATGTGTATTCCTGCTGCAAGGCAAATTACCCAATTTATCAATGTATTTCAACAATTAAATGTTTTTATCTTTCAAAAAAAAAAGGAAAGAAAGCTTTATTTGAGGTCATGGTTCAGAAGTTCTACTTGATTGTCTGTAGGCCTCATGGACTTTGGACCAGTGGTGGATCTATACGTCCTGATAGGGGACACTCTGTGAAGCAAAGCTGCTTGCTAGGAAGCAAAGAGAGAGATGAAGAAGACATTGGAAGCCAACATTCTCCTTCAAGGGTACACCCCAATGACTTATCTTCCTCTCACTATGCCCCTACCAGTCAAAGTTTCCACCTATTACAACAGAGAGCTAAAACTCACATTTGTTATCTCAGCTATTCAAGATATAGAGAGCAGGAAGATGACACTTTGAGGCCAGCCTAGGGGAAAAATGAGCAAAATCCCATCTCAATCAATAAGCTGGGCATGGTTAGGCAAGCCAATTAATCCCAAGTACATCAGAGGCCAGAGGCCATAAGTAAGAAGAGTGCAACCAGAAGCCTGCCCAGGCAAAAATCTGAGACTTTATCTGAAAAATAAAAAGAGTTGGAGGCATGGCTTAAGTGGTAGAATACCTGCCTAGAAAGTGTTAGGCACTGAGTTCAAGCCCCAATACCACAGAAGGAAGGAAGGAAGAGAGGAAAGGAGGAAGGGAGGGAGGGAGGGAGGGAGCAGAGGAGAAGAGATTCAAAAGAGAATAGAGGAGATAAAATTGGTTAGAATACATTTATACATTAATAGTAATGTTATAATGTACCTCCTCGTGCTAAAAAATAAAATAAAAAAGATTTTTCCAACACTATGTGCCCCAGGGAAGGAAGGCCAGCTGGTGTGCTCCTTTTCCACCAGGCACTGGAATTCTCATGGTTTTGCAAGGCTTTTTAGAAGTAGCAAGAGCATTTAAATAGGTAGCATCCTATTTCCAAAAGTAAAATTCTAAAAGTAGTTTGCTCTTCTTCCCATGTGTAGTAGAAAGAGAAAATACACAGCGGCTTCAGCATCCTGGACCACTCTTCCTGGTGTCAGTAGCATTAATAAAAATAGTAATAATAAAAAATAAAATAAAATTTGGCATTTATCAACTATTGACACTGCAGTAAAGCATGCATAGTCATTGCTGGTTAATCTCCACACCATCCAAGTAAGGTATTAAATATTGTCAGGGTCATGTTAGGTAATGAAGACATACTCAAGGTCATGTTAGGCAAGGGAGAGCACACCTAAAGCAATTAGCACACCTGAGATGCAAATTCAATTTCATTGAAAGGTCAGTTTTATTGATTCCATGATGACAGCTGAAATTGCATAGAATGTGTGTAATTGTGAGTGTATAAAATATGTAGCAGTGATACTCACGAGACACTATGTTGAAAATGAACTATACAACTTGTGTGGGAAAGGATTGGGGAGTGGAAAAATTGGGAGAAAATGAAGGAAGAGGTGATATTGTTCAAAAAGAAATGTACTCATTACTGACTTGTGTAACTGTACCCCCTCTGCATATCTCCTTTACAATAAAAATTTCAATTGAAAATAATACAAAATCCTAAGCTACTGCAAAGACATTCAACAAAGTATTGTTCCTGAAGAAAAAATGTGCTCATTACCTAACTTATGTAACTGAAACCCCTCTATACATCACCTTTATAATAAAAAATC